AAACCCAGAAAGAAAGTGAGAAGGCCTATATGCATTTCCCAAAATGTTGAACTGCTGTCAGTTTCTGTCTCAGTTAAAGTTTATTATTGAAAGCTATGAACTGGTTTGAAGGCTTGAAACACTGAAAATTATATTATTGCACTTCTTATTAATTTAAAGCTATGTGTTGAGAAAAATAGCCAGTCCATTGCAGGAAAACAATTATCATCTACCACTTTAAAAGAGTTTGTCAGTGTTCCATTCAGTTTTGTGAATCACTGTAGGGCACACCGTGTGTATAGTACAACAACAAAGTCTTTGCTTTTGCTGGCACCAGAGTTACAGCCACATAAAAAATCACTGTTACTGAAGTCTGTTACTGAATTAGACCGTCCTCTTTAATGTGGGCAGTATATTAGGACTGGTGGTTTGTTTTATACTCTGAAATCTAGGTAAGGGACACTGGTATAAAAGAGCATGAAGACCGATTTCAAAGTCACATAGTCCGAGAGCGCATGACAGCATGTGACGGCAATCAGCTGAACAGCAAAATAAATAAATGAAAACAAGAATTTTGACTCTTTAGATGATTTACATGCTTTTGCAGTCACACTAACTGTTCATTGTGTAGTTGATACTGTAATTATATTTGTCATTTCCAGATCTTCTGTTTTGTCATGTTTTAACAACACTTGATTATGAAGAACATGGCCAAACCAAACCAATTTAAAATAAGTAAGGAAATACCTTTAACAGATGTTTCCCCTCCTCTCTGCTCATATGGGACCTGTATGCATTTTCTGTTTTTGAGGCCTGTTTTGTGGCCAAGACAGTTTGCCAACAAAAAATGAACTTGTCCTAGAGTTCATCATGTCTGCAGTGCAAATTATAATGCTAAAATCTAAAGAATGTATACTTATTTATTAAGCACATTATAGGGTTTGAAATGTTTCTTCTTCTACACCAGATTCCCTTTAGCATTATTCTCAGGCAGAAAATGTCAACTTTGCATATGATATCTTACAATCCAACAGGCATATTGTCACAAAATCCACCAAACTCTTTCATACTCACTAGGGAATACATTTTTTGATTCTAATAATTGTTTCCTGTAAAATGACATATCTAACACTTGGTAAGGTAAAATAGCCAAAATATCAGTTCTTTGTCACATTCAGCACTTTCATTTTGCGATGTTTAATGTTCATAGCAACTCCTAAGGACCTTTAGAAATGAGATGTTTTTGGCATAGAGAAAAGGAGGTTCTGTTGCTTTTGCTTACTTTCTTGAATGAGACAGTAAGAAGAGTATAAACAGCAGAATCTAGACAAGGTTAGGCAATGTACTGTATGATCATTAGCTAAAAGGGGCAAATGAAGGAACTTCCACCAGCCAATTAACCCTTTAAGGCATGGATAATCTTATTTAATATGGCCTATTCTTAAGACGCCTGTGAGAACAAATATAAATCTGTTGTTCAGTGTTCTAAACTCATGTTTTGTTTTTAACTAAAATACAGCATAAATGTGTGTGTTTTGTTGGAGTGCCTGTCGGGAGAGACCATAAAGCCTCAGGATGCTGCACACAGCTGGAAACACATTCTCACGCTCCGACAGGCATAAACACTTAAAGATTTAACTGCAGAGCATATACAGCTGTGCACTTATATCAACTATTAAAATTGAGTACATTTTTAAGTATTAAATACACTGATACTAGTAAGGTACACACATACGCTAAGCTATTACAATACTGCTATGTACACACATCTGGAAATGTGAATCCACATTTATCTTTTGTCATCCAGCTGGATAAATCCTGCTCTTTTGCAGTACAACTGAACACGTAATGCTCTCTAAGGTACATAAGCAAGAACATCTCAGATATCTGACGTAGTCTTTACTGAGCAGTTGTTTGTTTGAGGTATCCTAGTTGGACCTCCTCAATGGCAGCTGGTTGTAGTTTATGGGGACAAAGCATCTGTGCAACTTTGACCCTTGAGATCTCTAGACTTTTCCGCCCAGCATAATATGATGGGAAAGGGGTGCAATGATCCACAAGAGAGACCCAATCAAGACACAGAAGGGTGGGGAAGGTTATTCAAATCTCAGTTATTCTTTTGAGTGAGTCAGCACAGCATTTTTGCCATTGATACCTTATTGATTGAAACTCATCTTTAATAAGTGGGTCACAAGATCAATTCCCTCCAGTGATCATGGGCTGAACTTTTCATTTACTTCAGTGGAAGCCACTGCTGTGCTCTGAAATCTTCCTGATAAAATGTGGACCCACAGTATACATACTGATGCATATCAGTGGGGTATAAAAAAATAAATAAATAAGGTGATTCTGCAGTGTTTCATAGTAACTGTTCAGGCAACATCTACACAAGCAATTATCACAGACTTAATCCAATATGTCTGTTGAGCCTGCTTATGATGACATTTCCCTGTGTATGGTTTTGGGAAGCATCACATAACTCCTACTGGAATCACTCAAGAGGTTTGGCCTGAGGTAAAGTAGGGGACAAGCAGAGTAGCCCACTGGGTCCCACAGTGCTGTCAGTGTCAGCAAGAAGCTTCCTGTTGGAGCAAGTGCTCTTTAGTCTAAAACCTGACTCACCACAAAATTATTTTATATTATTATATTTTATATTCAGTTCTTTGCACACATTTCATCCTTACAGATGTGAGTCTACATCATGTAAAAACCCTGTGCAGCTGGCTAGCAGAAGTACAGATGAACATGTTCTGTAGTTGGTATTGTCCACATCTGGTAGAGAAATATGTGGAAGTCAACAAAGAAGAGCATTCAGTATTATGTCCTCCAACTGCCAACATTACATATACTGCTCCTACTGCAGCCTTGTTTCATATTTTTTAAAAAGTGCTCCCCCTGGTGGCAATGAAAGAAAGCATGCTTATGACCAAGATGAATGTCTCCATAGCAAAGTTTATTGCTGACATGCATGTAGAGATCTGATGTAGAAAAATATGTTTTTTATACAAATGTGTTTTCATCTGTACAATTATGCAGTTTTCTGTATTTAGATGCCCACGTCTGACCAAGCAGCTTACAACACATTGTCCCCAGGTTTAAACTGCACCACACCACATTTCATATCATACACCAAGTTTCCAGTTGAAACAGTCAGTAATATATCAGCTATATACTGATGACTTCATAAGTTTAGAACCAGGATAAAAACCATAAAAACTGAACTTTTTGCAAACTAATTAACCTATTATTTGCTCAATTGGGGGTATACAATTCTTGCTTTAGATTAAATTTTTATGACCAAAGGATCTTTTAACTATCAGTTGCTCTGACATACCTTGCAAATTCCAAATCATGCAACAGTCACATTTTACACCAAGTTTAACCTCACATTATTTCCATGCTGTTCAGTTCACATTTCAGTCTACCAATACAACCCTGTAAAACAAACATTGAATGTGGTACAATCCACTAGCTAGGAAGTGAAACACTTTTAGATTGGGTGGGTGGCAGATAACATCTACATCAAGGGTCTACTGAACCTCTAGTGACTAATCTGTAGTTGGGCGTCATGGAAGATGGTGTACGACACTTTCTACAGACGATCACTTAATGTCAGCATTGAACAATGGCTACGGTGTTCATGAAACACCCTTTTCTGATGAACCTAGACTACTACAATACTGCTGTATACCCATGAAATTCACATTGAAGTGGAAGAAAGCTGACCGCTCTCTGTACATATTACTTTCTCCTCCAGATGTGGTGGTTGATGGCCAACGTGGCCTATAATGCATGTCAACTGGCATGTGTTGAAACCGAGTTGGCATCTCACTAGGTGGACATACACTATGAGTGGAGCAGTCATGATGGTACATTATTTACATACTGACCAGAGAGTGCAGCCTTGTGTGTGGGGGTGTATGAAAAAAGTCAGTTTTGTTATTAGTGTAGCTTAACTTGACCACTGACTGCAGTAAAATGGCAAGAAAATTATTTAAAAGTCCAAGAAAACAAAAAACATGCTACTGATTTATGAAGGTGGCTGAAAAGGATCAAAATGAGATGGTTAAAGTAGAATCAATGCTGGAAACAAGAAAACTTCTTAAAACTATGAGAGCAAAGGGATTTTGGGCCTGTTTTACTGGCACAGCTTACAACTAGTCTTTAGTCTTAAAAAAAAAATTTCTTAACATTTAAAAAGGAAATTCTGACTAAGATCTGTGACCAAAGCCCACTGGTTTGCGTAGGGTCTACACAAGTGAATAAATAAATCAACATGAAATTACAATGGAAAAAAAGAAGTAAAGACACTGGAAAATATTCCAGAGCCTATGTTCATGCAATCAGTTCGAATATAAATAGGAAAAAGACAAAAGAGCTTAAAGCAGGTTCCAATATACAAAAGCAAGTTGCGGTACACAGATGCCCAACAGTCACTGGGTAGTAGCTTTGCTATGGTTTGAAGAAACACTTCAACTCGTCAACAGCCAAGACGACCCAGCAACTCATCTTTAAACCCATGAGTTGGTGTTTTTGAAAATATTACAGTATCGATTACCAGCCACCAGCTGGCCTCTCAGAGGGCCTATATATGGTGACAGAATACAAGCACGTACAAGCTGACCTAGAGAAAGAGCTTGTGAATAGCAAGAGATACCTGATATTTTCCAATCTTCACAGACAATCGCTAAAACATTCACTCAAGCCACGTCTTAGCAAAGCTCTGGGTTTCACAGTGTCTGCTGCTGAGGCAGGCCAAAAGACAGAATACAAAGACTGGAGGCTAGCTTAAAGGGTCTGAGGCTGTCAGAGGTTAATAGCTCAACAGCTACACAGACACTTATTTTGCCTGGCCTGAAACATATAGACACAGTCATGGATACTGCTGACATTTCAACGCGTAGAATGACACATTCATCCTGAAAAACACGTCCCATGATCTGTCTTGATAAAGAGAAACAGGAAAGTTGGAATACCTGGAAGCCATTTGATTCTGAATGAGACTGTGGGTACTAGTTTCCTTGGCTAAGAGTAATTTTAAGACATGAATTTTTTGCAATAGAAACATGACAGTGCCTGATCTTCACTGTAATGGCACTGAGGAAGCCATCAATATGCCTTGGCAGGGAGGATCCAACAGTTGTTCCCATTCAGTTCTTGGCATCGTGGCTTCCAGGTCCCTCACATTAGCTGCCTAGATGCTAAAAACAGATTTCCACAGGGATGAGCAAAAGCAGGAGCCAACGCATTCTAAAAATATCAATGCTTGTATACATATTTTGATAATGAATATCTTCAATGCAAGTTTAGGGAGAATGCTACTTATTAAGGTAAATATGAAAAAAAGCTTATTCAGATTTTTTGAAACCACTGAGAAGGTTTCAAAGCATTATCACTGACAGAAGACATTAATGCTTTGTCACTGGTGGCATCAGGACTCCATTATTACAATCCCTTGTCTCAGAACAGTGAGCATGGTTTACCAACAGAAAAGAGAGACAGAGAGGTAGATTGATTTGAAGTCAAATTTACAGACAGGACAAGTCTGGATCATTTTCAATACAGAAAAACAGTAAAGAGGAAAGGAAAGGAATAGGGGGAGGAAGAGGGTGAAACTGAGGTATAGAGAAGTGACATCTGTGATCAGGTGATGTTACTTGAGGCAATACCTTTAACCACTAAGAAAAGAAGGGGTTGCTACATGATTCTGGCCCTGTATTGCTCAGGGAGCCCAGAGTTGATGGGCAAAGTGTTACAGTAGGGGGCTCTCAAAAGAGGAGGAGGGATACAGGATCTTTTCAGCACTCCAGACAGAGCCTTGTGTTGGCCCCGTGTCTGACTGTGCCATCAGGTTAGTTGAGGTGGTGGAATAGGAACCTATGGTTCTCATTTTCCTCCAGGCCTTTCCATATTTCACTATGGGATTCAGACATGAGGACTGAAGTTCTGGGTAGACAGTCTGATCTGGTGCCCTCCTCATGTCTGTTCCCTATGAATGAGGCCATCTCTACCCTGGTTCAAGATGGGCCCTGTGTGTGTGAGTTTAGTTTTTCCTCCTTCATCCTCTCTGGTCTCCGCAGGTGTCTTTAATCCCTGGAGAGACCAGAGAGGCTGAAATGGGTGGGTGAGGACTACCTCCGGAGGAAACGTTGAGCCAGGATGGCAGCATCTAGTGGACTGACCGGCTGGGCATCGTGGCCCAAACGCCGAACAGGTGGGATGCTGCCAAACTGGCGCTTGGTGAGAAAGGTCTTGGCCTCGTGGATTGTGTTCTTCTCTTCAGCCAGCAACAGCTGCTGGCGCATGTAGTTCTCAAACTCATATTGTGAAGACTCCTCTATTACCTTGGCCTGAGGAAAGAACATATAATCTGTTCAATTTGATGCAACAATGAAATTAACACGTTCACTAAAATGTGCCTAAGAAAAACTGTAAACGTGAGGCGAAACCCATAAAAAAAGTGAATTATATCATCTTGTTTCCATTGTTACACATAATTAAGACATTATAAAGTTAAATTTAAGACTTAAGACCTTTTTCGACTATTCCAAATACAGTTTGTACTTCACATACATACTGGAAAGTATATGCTCTACTGATACAGAGCTTATAGCAAGAAAATCTTCTGGGCCTGAATTGTGTTTAGGGGTTATGAGAAATAATAGAGGGAAGGGCGGTTCACAAAATAAATAAATTAAACAATTCAGAATGGACATATTACCACAACAGAATTCAACACAGCAGGGCATACTGCAACCTGTTTCAGAAAGACAAGAACGTCTCTATATGTGAATCCTCAAGTTTAACGTGTGCATTATCTACTCAGTCGGAAACCAAAGCTATGTGACAGGAAAACAAACATAAAAACGCAAGAATATTTTCCATAGACATATAATTGTCTATTTTCAAATGTAAAACGACTATGGCCCTGCAGTGATGGAGAACTTTAAGCCATGTGAACATAAATAAATGACTCTGCAGTTAATTCTCTTTGACTTTTTTTGCCACAGTGTGGTGTACGTCCAAACACTGTCCAGAAATCTCTTACTGGTGTTGCAGGAGCTGGTGCAGTGAGTCGTGCTGGGACCTTGGCAACGCTCCTGATGTTAATACAGAACAATACTGCCTGATGGTGGGCGTTTGCTGGAGGGTTTTAACAGCGGTCTATGTTTGCTTGCACATAGTGCAGTGGGCTGAGAAATTTGCTATGTTTATCAGGCTTCAACCGAGAACAAAATGCACTTTTTTCAGTTCAGTCTTATTAAACTTTCCCATATTAGGCAGGATAAATACTAAAAACTTATGGAAGAAATGCTATGTTTATCTCATGCATCACAATGCACTGTGTGAGTGTTCTCAGATAAATTCTGACCAAGCAGCAAATTTTGCAAATGTTCTGCTTCCAAGTTGGTTTGGTTTAGTAGTTTTATTACAGCTTGATAAATACAAAATGATTAGAGAAAGAACTAGGCACTTTGGCCATTTTACATGGGCAATGTTAACATAGTGTTAAAATAATAATCAATTTAACCTAAATGTGGTCATCATTTTTAAGACCTATCAAAATCACATTCAGGCCTTTTTAAGGCCTAAAATTCAGATTCTTGGTTTTTAGACTTTTGCCCTGCAGAAACCCGGAATAATTTACCTCTTGTAGATGTTCTGGGTGCTGTATCTGGTCATCAATATCTGGCACCACCTGCAGAGGGCCACTCAATGATGAAACCGTCTGCCTGTTATTAGGAAAATAACAAGTGTGATGATTAACAATATAAATCAACCTATGTGGAAGCACTGCATGGCTAACAGCACGAAGCTCCAAAACCAGTGAATATCTTAAAATCACAGCAGCTATTAGTATACAATTTACACACATTAAACTGTAATTCTTTACAATTATTTCTCATCTATTCAACAATAAAATCAACAGATTTGCTGTAATTTTTTCTGACAGCCAGCAGAGGGAGCAATTACCATGAGGCAATGATTGCACTGAGAGACTCCAGCACCTCTCCTGCAGTCAGCCTCTGCTGAGGGTCCAGCACCAGCAGCTTTCGTATCAGGCACACAGTGTTCTCTGACACACGGCCATCCCTGTGAGGAAGTGGAGGGAACAGGAAGGGGCAGTTTTATTTGTGAAATGTGACAACAAATAGTCACAAATCTACAAGGCAAGTATTAAATGTTTGGCCTGCCATTTCTTCAGGTCCAAACTGAAAAGGAAAATGCGACATTTTCAGTATATGGTATATACACCTTGTTTTGGCCACAATTACACCACTAACCCATAAACATAAACAATGATTCAATGCATTTGATGGGGGTATCTTGCAAACTCACTGCTGGTACAGCCACATTTATAGTTAATTTCAAACTGTTGCAGAATCATAAAAAAAATGAATAGATGAATGAATAAATTTAATGACTATTGTTGACTGACTGTTGTTATAGTTAAATTCCACTTTGAATACATCTCCACAAAATGTTACATGGACAGGACAAGCACTCACTCTGGGATGGAGTACTCGGCAGCCTTGATCTTGCGAAAAAGCTCTTGAGGCATGCTGTCATAAAAGGGGAACTGGCCATACAGCATGGTGAACAGGACCACGCCAAGAGCCCACATGTCACTGGGTTTACCGCGGTACGGCCGACCTGGAGACAGGAAAAACAGAGGATCCTGTTTAGCAATGTAGCAATGGTTTAGTCAATAAGCAGAGGTTGAAATCTGTTTGGTGCGATGACAGTTTTTGCCCTGTGTGACTCAGAGGTGATCAACCCTTTTACAAGTTCAATTCCTGTCAAGTCACCAGGTCTAATGATTAATGACATGAGCAAACAAACACAAGCAAGGACTCCATACCCATTATATTACAGAGCAATCTCCGGCACACTGCCAACTTTAAAAATGAGAGAAGTGTATTTTATAATTAACCCTGAACCACTAAATCAGTTGAAGATCAGGACTGAATAAACTGGAACTGATGCGGGTGGAGCATCATGGCTGTGTTGTTACAGACAAGCAGGCAGAAGCAACAGCAGCAGGTAATTATGTTCAAGCTTGTGACACACACACACACACACACACACACACACACACACACACCACACAAGCAGGGGATGAGGATGGGAGGGGAGGGGGGTAGATGGGAGTAGTTTCCCTCCAGTGAGTCATCAGTCTGTGAGTCACTGGAGCTGTTTAATTGTGTGCCTGTCACGTTATGCTGATACACACGCCTGGGTTTTATCTACAGTTTTTGAGTGAGTTGTTGCATGTGAACAATTTCTTTGAAATTCTTCTCAGTCTTGTACACTTGTCCAGAGTGTTGCTCTGGAAATCAATGATCAAATGAATGGGAACTACTCCATGGAAGTGCATGCTCTCAAGCATCAACTTGACTGGTGTGTGGTGCTCAGGTCTACACTTTTGCTTTGACAAATGAGCACTGTGAAGAGGAATGATACAAATTAATTTCAGCTTATCTCAGACAAAGTTTTTTCACACAAAGAGGAAAAGGTGCTTCCTCTGCAAACATACCACGGGAAAATGCCACATCACTGTGATTACACAAAGTCAGGAAAAAAAAAAGCTATTCCTAGCCAGCCTAGGATTGCAACATAACCTCTTTCTTGTTGCCTAATAACCGGAAAATCAAACACAAGACTGACAGCTAAATGCTATGCAAGAGTATTCAAAGAAAGACAAGGATCCCATCTGGACTCAAATCAACAAGGGCCACTAGTGTAACTAGAACATTCTGGTCTGGCATTTTGGCAAGTACTTTAGTTGTGTTTCATTTGCAGTAAATACACTTCACAGTTCTAGTTCACCTCCAACAGTAGGCAGCGTCAAATCTAAGGCAGTCAGGAAGGTTTTCTCACTTATGCACAAAGGACGGACTGAGTTTCTGAAAGTGATGGCACAAATCAGACCGTTTCAAAAGCACCTTGTACAAGATATTAGTTTTTCACTCACTACTTAATACATCTGGGCTAATGTATGCCGGGCTCCCTCTCTGGTCTTTCAGCAGGTCGTCCTCGCTCACTAGGTGTTTTCCCAGGCAGAAGTTGGTAATGGTGATTCGGTGAGTCCTGTAAGAACACACAAACACAAGTGATAAATATCTGATGAAGAGGAGGAAAAAAAAAAATTTAAATCAGGAATTGATTCAAAGAAGTCTCTACTTTAACTTGGTAAAACCATATAAAATAGCAGCAAACCTAACTTGCTAGCATGCAAGGTTATTTCAGTAATCTTACAGCTGACAGCCAGATGACAAAACAGAGTATACACATCCAGTCTTGTATTAAAAAGTCACATTCTTATGTTATAGTTGCATTAAGACATTTTTACTTGTGTTATTTCATGAACACAAGAGTTAGTAGCAACATGTCGGAACACAAGACTCTTCATCGCACATTCTGACCAGAATTTTAAACTGTCGGGAAATGTACGTACCCGTCATGCATCACACACCATCATGTTCCCACAATTTGGTCAAAAGGTCTTGATTTTGTAAATCCTTCTACATTATCTGCTGCACTATACTTCTGCAGCATGCCTGTTCAATTCCTTTTTTTGTCTCGGCTTGATTCTCAGTGGTTAAAAACTATAGCCAGTAATCTAATATTCCCTAAAATGCACATTTTCTTTTATTAAATCTAACCAGCTGCAAGATCAAGATAGGGAAAAATACAAGTAACAAAATGTTTTAACTTAGTTGAAACTTATCAGGAAGATGTCTTACATACTAGGTATATGTATATACTATGACATTTGCACAAGCATAGAACTGATTTTAAAATAAGGCTTCTCATGCAGCCCAACATCTGTGGGCAGAGCCCTGCTAAAATTAATTTCAACCACAGATTGTGTTCTTGACATGAGGGCCTTAAAACTCTTAAGCACCCTGCATTAAGGCTTTATTGTAGATAAATCACTTTAATGCGAAATTTTCATTTAAATGTTCTTCATGTTCAGTTTATTATTGTCACCATTATTACTGTACTGCAGCTGATGGCCACCTTCCTACATTTCGACACCATGACCACTCCAGACACACTGGCACTTCAAAGTCTGGGAAGACCAGCTGCTCCTAACAGCCATGTTTGATTAATTTGGTGTCTGTGGAAACAATGTGGTACTATAAGAATTCTCTGAGTCATCAAGGTAAACTTAGATTGCTTGTGGTGGAGTGAAACATAACAGCATTAAAGCTGAGGGACTACAGGCTGTTCTACATCACTGTAATCTTTTAGCAGAGAAAATAAAAAAGCCACACTTTGACAAACACATGAGTCAACCTGTGGCTATGGATAAGTGAATGACTAAGCCTGCATGGTGATGGGCTGGCAAAGAAATATATAAAGCTCAAAAAGATTTCAAATATGTACACAAATGTGCGACTTCAAGCAGAACCACACAATCACTCCCATGCTGAGCACACACAGACACACACAAATGCAATCAAAGCAAATGGGCGCACACAAAAACAGAGCCTGGGTCCTCTCTGGATCACGCTCCTCACCAACATCCGCTTTCTAAAGAGCCTGAGGTCAACAGCTTCCCTTTTTCTCTTTCACTTTCACACCCTGCTCCATCTCACATTCACACACACACACACACTACTTCCATTACAGTATCTGGAGGCAACTCCTGCTAAACGCTCAGTTTTCAACCAAATTCTTCATTCTCAATCATCCCTGAGAACACCGTGTTCACATCATTTCCAGCTACTTATCTGATCAAACCCTTCAACAGCTTTTGTGATCCAAACATCTATAACCAAAGAGTGGCCTTGTGATCTGTACAAGGATGGGCCAGAAGAACACAGTGCAATGCTTCAAGGATCCTCGACATAAAAGCTTCCTTTATGGAGGAGTCTGTCCTTTTGTCTGTGTACATCACGACCCAGGTTTCTATTCTTGCACTGGAGATTAGGTAAATGAAATTGCACATTTGCCTCGTGAGGCAAGGGTCCCTGGGGACTGAAGAGAGACAGCACCACCTCTGTTTCTTGGTCATGTGACCTTGGGTAAGCCAGGAAACCAAAAACCCAAACAGGTCCAATGACTCTTCCTCCCACTCTACAGCATTTTGCTCAAAATATACCAGTTGATGAGAAAGGAGGTCAAACGCAGGGCAACGTCTGCCGAGTACAGCCAATTTCATTTCTCAGACCTGTCAGGAACTGATGATTTTACTAAGCTTTAGTGTAGCAAATGTTTTTAAGCTAATTGCAATGTATTATTGCTGATTCCATTATGTGTTTAAAAGACATGGTTACAGATCATTCCAGTGTGAATTCTTTCCCCATTTTCACTGTTTTTAATGCCTTGCCAACTGCCATTTTGCTCCAATCAACAAATTGTCAGTAACAGTAATTATAGAAAAAAACTATATAACAATACAATAACAGACAAACCTTTTTTATGTATATCTATAAAAGACTATGTCCCTGTAGAAACACAACAAAAATATAGGAAGCAAATACAGCTCTGACATACATTGTCAATGAGCCTGCAGATTGATTTATGACATCCTGCTTTCATAACGGCTGTCTGCGCAAGAGGAAATGGCATCATGCTTGCACAAACTGCTGAGCTCGTTGTGTGATGGCAAGCAGGAGGGGAGGAGAGGGGATTTCGGGATTGGTTTGCCTCTAAACTGACCGCATCCTTCCAATACTGATGATCCATTCATCCAAGGGGCGAGTGACAGAGAAAATATGTGAGCAAGCAAATTATGACGTATAAAGTAGAAGGAAAAAAATGAAAAGGAAAAAAGGTATACGACAAAGGTAATAAAACAAAATGGAAAATGAACATGGGTATTAAAGAAAACAATAAAGCAACATAGAAGGGTAACAAAAATAATGAATGTATGTAGACACGTACTGTACATATATGTGTGATGTGTATTGCTCTGAGTCAGCTGTGAGCTACAGGGTCTTTGGCAGGCCTCTCCTTTGTCTCCAGCTGGGGACAGAGTGTTTTGTTCATCACCCTTGGCCAAAACGCTATTTCAGCACCACCACTACTGTTGCTGTTGCTTCTGCAGGTGGTGATAATCCAGGAAAGAGTCATCTCTGTGCACACACTCATGCAAATTACATATGACAAATGACTGAATAGTATATGGGACAATTCTATGATTATGCTCTCGTGCGTGATGCAGGCATACAGGATGTGAAGGTGTATGTAAGAGTGCATACGAACAAAAACAAAGTGAATGTGTGTGTGTGCACCAGTCAGGTCCTTCCAAATTAAGACTGGCTTTGTGGGATTATAAATCAGTAATTATGCATGCGAACTAGGGGTGGGAAATTACAAAGCACAAATTTTCATAAACAAGTACTCGCAGATTTTTTGACACATATACATGCTTTTTTCCCCATATGGTAGTCTACTATCCAGGATGCGAATTACAGCATGCCCTGAGGGGTGCAGTGGTGATGATAGCAGATGCTGCCAAGATTTCATTAAAGTTTCATTAAAGTCATACACCGCCATTTCCAAACACAGTAAGGCAGACATCAAGCTACAGCCAAATTTTCATCAAAACAATCGGTTCTCCACAGTGGAGACTGACCCTGCACACTCGTCTTACAGCCGACTGCATATTAAGATCAATTTGTCCAGCATGGAGGACGGCTTGGTTTGATGAAAATGAAGTGGTTGCTCGTTTCTACCTTACTATATTTGGAAGGATATGTCATTTGTGTTTGAATCTGTGAAAATTAGCTGCAGGGGTAGGACAGGATGTAGAAAGAACACTGCTCCACTTGTCTGAGCTAATGTTAACTGCAGGCAAGTCCTCAGATGTGTTGGTGTAGTTGAGTAAGTATCTACTTTTTCGTGAAGTCAGAAAACAGTTTACCTTGACACCGCTCTGATGTCATAAGTGACTGATCAGCACAACCTTGCCCACTGCTTTCCTGCATTTTGTCCTTGCAGTCATAATGTTACTAGTTTACCGAGGTCAACAGGATATAACTGCTTAAACTGAATTTTAAGAACATCCTCTGTGGAACAAAAGGCAAATCACATTAAATGGCCTTTGAACAGGTCATTACAGGGTCAAATTAGTTTTTTTACTGTTCAAATGTTTGAAATTTGAACAAAAAAGTGACAGCCCTACCACGCATACATTTTTTTAATGATTATGCTCAAGTTTTAGGCCATTGCATCTGGTGATCATTGCATGATCAACATATAGTCTATATAAAGAAATATAGTTTCAAATGTATGGGCCCCAGAGAGGATCATATCATTTCTACTCCCTAACATGAGCCTGCACATCTTGGAGTGAGTGACAGCAGCATGCACACTGATTTTACCTGCCATCAATAATACCAGTAACATCACTGGGCCATGTGCTGGGTATTTGCTCATGACCTGTATTCATGTGTTATTTTGTGGGCCAATTACTGTGCATGGATTTAAGAGTCAGATCACATATTCTCAAGGACACGAGCGCACCTCCTAAGTGTAACAAGGTCATTTTATAAAAAGTTGGTATG